CCCCTCCCTTTCCCCTCCCTGTCCTGCCTGCCGCTGGGGGCTGGCCCATCAGAGACAATCAGTCATAAACCCCAAAAGTTGCCCTTGGGGACACCACAGATCTGGCTGGGATGGGGCCAGGGCCACCCAGACTGTCAGAAAGAACATGTGTTCTGCCTCTTGCCCCTGCCTCTGCCCTTGATGCTCTGTGCACCCATCTCAGGGACCACATGGTGCTGCCCTCTGGCCACATCCCCAGCAGAGAAGTGTGGTCCCATTCGCAGGTACACCTCCCCCCCCCCATGCCAGGAGTCCTGACACATCAAGCCTGTCCTACAGAGAAGACAATCACAAAATACAAGTGAGGAAGTTCCAGTTTCTCCTACACTCCATTCCCTAAAGATCAAACACAGGCCTTGCTTCCTCTTCTTGGTCCAACCTTACCTTTTACCCAAGTTTCGGCTCCCCAACCAGATCAGCACAGAGCCCAGACAGGCAGCCACATCGCCCCCTCAGCCCTCTGCTCCTGGCTCTGCACCTCCTCCCTCCAGATGCCCTCTGACAACTTGGCCTCTGTTCTCTCCCACACCCCCAGCCTTCCCCTCCCCTCTCCCTGTCAGGCAGGGGGGCAGCCGTCCTCTGTGACTTGTTCTCAGCAGGACCTCATGATGTACACTGCCCGTGCCACACGCTTTACAACGCCATTTCTCAGCTGCAAAACAACACAGCAAGATCCTTCCTGGCCAGAAACGAAAGAAGTCAGGAGACTGTCCTGAGGTCAGGCAGCTGGTAGGGGCAGAGGACAGAGCCAGGGCTGTGGGTGCACACCCCTACCTCAGCCCACACACCCCAGGCCCTGTCCTGGGGTTGGAGTCCGAGGCATCTCCCTGCCTCACCCCACCTCCCATGTTAGCATCTGTCCTTTCACAACCAGATGGCCAGGTAACACCTCTCCTGTCATCTCTCCAGCAAAACTCGTCCTAGGGAAGCAAAGGTCCTAACAGGTGCGTCCATTTCTCTGCACTGCAGGTTTCATGAGATTTCTGAATGTGGACTCCAATTTCCTCACCCCTTCCATCTCTTGCCTTTGCTCCTGACTGGTTAATTTTAATTTCAGAGCATAATGCTCCTTGCGAAATGCATCTTCTCCACAGTTTGGGACAAGAAACTAGAATTCTCTTCATGTAATAGCTATTTGAGACATATTCCTTGTTATAAATGGCTTCCAGGATGTGCTTGCTAATTTTAAAATTCCACATTATGATGAGGTAAAATTAATAGGAACCTAGCAAAGGAGCAATCCAATTTCTCCTCAATGTCCCTCAGGTTCATCTATGGAGAAGTTATCTGCTGTATCTGATGGGTCCTTGAACACAGGTATGCGTCACATGTGCAGCTCACAGGTGCACCACACAAGCATTCCTCACAGGTGTGTCACAGGGGCAGCTCACAGGCATACCTACCAAGTATATCTCAAAGATGTACTTCACAGGTTTACTCAGAGGTGCACCTCAAAGGCGAGCCTCACAGGCACACCTCACAGGTGCACCTCATAAGAGTACTTCGAGATACACCTCATGGTGTACCTTACAGGGGTACCTCAGGGGCACAATAGAGGCATACATCACAGATGTATCTCACAGGCTTATCTTACCAGCACACCTCACAGGTGTACCTTACAGGCTTATCTCACAGGTTTACCTCAAAGTTGTACCTCACAGATGTACCTCACAGGCACACTTCAGAGGCATACCTCACAGGTATTCCTCAAGGAGTACCTTACAGGTGTCCTTCACAAGTGTATCTCATAGGCATACTTCGTAGGTGTATCTCAAGTCTGTACTACACATGAATATCTCACAGGTGCACTTCACAGGTGTGCCTCACAGGTGTGCCTCACAGACACACCTCAAAGATGTACACCAGGTGCATCTCACAGGTGTACATCACAGGCACACCTCACAGGTGTACCACAAAATTGTACCTCAGGCACACCTCAAAGATGTACCCCAAGGTGTACCACACAGACATACCTCACAGGTGTCCCTCACAGGGGCATCTCACAGACACACCTGACAGGTGATCCTCACAGGGGATTAACTGCATCAAGAGTCCAACCCTCAGGCCCTGCTCAGGGGCCCCAGGCACCACCACTAGGTGTGTCAGGGAGTCAAATGAGAAAGGGGAAGGAGCTGATACAGAATGTTGTTGAGCAGTTAGCCCTGGGCCCCGCAGGTGAGGTAGTTGGGGCATTTACACGTGACCTTACTAGTCACCGGCCAAGGGCACCTCTGGGGGTGTTAACTCCTGGTGACTCTGCTCTGCAAGCACTGCAGGCTCAGAGGCAGGGAAACCCACAGGTAAAGAGACACAGGTGCCACAGGTGTGAGTCAGGCAGCACACGTGTTATGACAAGCTGTGTGTGGGTGCACCCTCACTCTGGGTCCCTTCTCTCCACCCGGTGCTCCCAGGTGACTGGCTGTGGCACAGTGGTGCCCCCAGCTCCTCAGCCAGCACCCTCCTCCACTCCCCACCCACTCTGCATGGAGCCCTCATCACTCCATGTACCCTGAACACGTCATGCCTCTGAGCCCACAGCCATGCTGCTCCCACTGCGGCCACCTCCCCTCACAGCTTCACCTGGGGGCCTCCCTGCCCCAATGGGGCTGCCCCATTCAGCACTCTCACGCCCATACCAGGTGAGCTTCACGCCTTCTCCCCGTTGTCCTCAGCCCTGCCAGGAAAAGGGAGGGCGAAGGAGAGAGCAGAGGAGGGCCCAGCTCACAGGAGCGAGCGAGCAGAAGCAGGAAGGGTGGGCCGCAGCACCGAGAGGGGGCATCAGGGTGGGGGTGAGCTGAGGATTTGAGACGTGTCCCACCAAAGACCCAGCTCCCCCGGGCCGCACAGCCAGATGGCTGCCTCATTGGCATTTCCCTCACATCCCAGCATGATTGGACTCCAGCTCAGAGCGTCTAGAGACAATACACTGGAAGTGCTCTGGAAGCTGTCAGGGGCTGGACTCAGGGAGAGGCGACCCACAGCCTGGCCCCAAACCCAAGCACCACAGCACCTGCTTCCCCCCACCCCCATCCCACTCTCCCTCATCTTCAGTCAGAAACTCACTATTTTTAGGAAAAGTGGGAGACCTCGGAGCAGATCCCTGAAAGGAATCTGCTGCGTGACTAAGCGGAGGCAGGAACGTCACAGCGCAAGGGCCCACGCCCCGTGCTTGGCCAGCTGGGCCATTGTGGCCGGTGCAGCTGCAGGGAACCAGCCCGGAGCCCACGCAGAAGGTCCCCTGGAACCAAGACTTGTGCTGAGAAAACTTGTCTAAGCACAAGAGGCCACCCTGGCCCCACACTCACGCGTGTGCACACTTATACACGGACACACACTAACACACGCATACGCTTGCTCATACATGCATGCACAACTTTTTACCAGCTGAATGCAGTAAAAGTCAGAACCACACACAAACCTGCGTCCTGGCCAAAACAGTGGTGACGATATAGACACTGGCAACCTGAGGAAGAAATGAAAAAACCGTAGGCTGTTTCCCTCAGTTGAGGGCCTGGATTATGGTTCCCGGTCCTTGGCGGGAGGGGTCTGGAGTCCTTCGGACTAAACCTTTCTGCTTCCATGCCTCTGCACACAGGACCAGTTGGCAGGGCTCCTGGCTCCTGCTTCAGAAGGTGAGCCCACCCAGTCTCTGCCGAGTGAAGTGAACAGCAGTTTACACCCCGAACCTCCCAGCAGTCCATCGGCACACACACATATGCACACACATGCACACCCAGCATGCATGAACACACATACCCAGCACACACACACATGTATGCATACACACACACACACACCCAGCATGCACATACACATCCATGCACACCCAGCATGTGTGGACATGCACGGACATGTATGCATGTGCACACACATGCACACACATCTGCACACAGTCTCTTTTATGTGGAGTAAAGAGCCCTCCTGCATCAGGAGAGTCAGACAGACCTGGGTTGAGTCCTCCAGGTGCAATCCAACCTCTTTTTAATCACACCACGGCTCACAGAGAAGCTAATATCTGTGTGACACCCAGGGCAGATGGACAAGCCTCGGTGAGAAGCACCTGCTGCCATCTAGGCGTGACAGTCCCTTTGAGGCACAGATGCTCCGACGCAGACCCATCTGTAAAACACGGCAGTGCCCACAGTGCAGTTTTGGACTCTGTGGGAGCAGAGGGTCTAGCAACATGAATAAAGGTGCCCAATAAGTAAGAGTGAGGCCAAGGAGAGATGTGTGGTGGGGGATCATTGAGGTGACTTCCAACAAGAGGTGCCAGCTCTTACCTGCAGCACTGCTGTGCCCTCAGGAGTCTGGTTCTCACTGCAGACCCCTCGCCTGTAAGACTGAGTGACCAGACTGCACCCCACCAGCAAAGAGAGGGGCAAGTCTGTGCGAACCCCCACCTCGTGGTCCCACCTCCACGCTGGGCACTGGCCACCTTCTTCCCTTCTCCCCACTTCCTTCTGTGGGGATGAGGCACAGAGCTGAACCCAGCATGACCTCTAGCACAGTCGGGGAGTTCCCCTCCTTGTCTGGAGCAGGGCTGCATGTCCCCAAGGCAAGGCTGGTCCGGCCACCTCCCCAGCACGCCTGAGCCCAGGTCTGGGCACCCAGGAGATCCCAAATTCTCGGGCAGACCCCCAGGCAGAAAGGCTCATAGCGTCTGTGGGATTACCTCCTTCCCAGGTATCAAGTGCGAAGGCCTGGCTGCCGCCGCCCAGGACCTCTGCCACAGGTGGGAGCCCTAGAGTGGTATCCCTGCCCCCTTCCAGGCATCTGATTTTCCCAGGGGAGGTGCGAAGCTGGAGATCTACAGCAAGGGGGGCAGCGGTGGGTGAGTCAGCTGGTGCCCTCCCAGGACTCAGTAATCGTCACTAAGAAAGGCTTTGCTGATGACAGTGTTTGCTGGGAGTCCGTGTGTGCCTGGGGACTGGCGGCTTCTCCCAGGCAGCCAGCGGGACACCATGAGCCTCAGCGAGGAGCAGGTGCAGGACTTCCTCAACCAGAACCCCAGCTTCACGGACCAGTACTTTGGGAAGAAGCTGAGCCCAGAGAATGTGGCCGGTGCCCATGAGGACGGATGCCCAGCAGACTGCACCAGCTTCCGCGAGCTATGCCAGGTAGAAGAGAGTGCGGCCCTGTTCGAGCTGGTGCAGGACATGCAGGAAAGCGTGAACATGGAGCGGGTGGTCTTCAAGATCCTGCGACGCCTCTGCACCATCCTGCGTGCCGACCGCTGCAGCCTCTTCATGTACCGCCAGCGCAACGGCGTGGCTGAGCTCGCCACACGCTTGTTCAGCGTGCAGCCCGACAGCATCCTGGAGGACTGCTTGGTGCCCCCTGACTCTGAGATTGTCTTCCCGCTGGACATTGGGGTCGTGGGCCATGTGGCTCAGACCAAGAAAATGGTGAACGTTGAGGATGTGACCGAGGTGGGTTCTGGACCACACCTCGCAGGGCGGGTGAGGGGTTACCCTGGGCCCCATGGGACAGGTCAACCCACAGGCTGTGTGGGGACCCTCAGTTTTCAGGAAGGTGGCCGAGGGTGTGGGGCTGACGAGTGGAATGGAGCCCAGTCGGAGCTCGCGGGAAGGAAGGAAGCCCTGAGGTAGCTGGGAGGGCGGCCTGGGAAGGCCCTGCTGTCCCCTTGACCCACGGCTCCCTGGACGGGGCATTGAGGAGGAAGGGGTCAGAGCAGGGGCTGTTGCCCCCAGAGCCCCAAGCTCACAACCCCATAGGAGACCACGCTGCTCACTGCGAGGGCAGCTTTGGGGGTTCAGGAGAAGCAGCGAGAGGCCAGGGCTGGTCCAGGGCAGGGCGGGGGGGGTGGTGGACAGCAGTGCAGGAGCTGAGAGATTCAGGAGGACCAGTTCTTGTTGGGCAGGAAGGAGAGAGTGCCAGTGACCCTGCTGCGTGTGGCCCATGCACCAGGAGGACCGCTGCCCCCGGGGGGAAGAGTGTGGATGGGGTGGGGGAAGGTGATGTCAGTCTGGGATGCACTGAGTTTGAGGTGCCTGTCGGACGTGTGAGGGACAGAGGCCCCGAGGTGGACAAGGGGCTCTGGGGAGATGCAGCCCACGTCCTGCTCCTCTCCCTTCCCCGCCACCACCTCCAAGAGGGTCCAGCCTGGGAGCCGTGAGCTGGATCAGCCTCTTCCACTTCCTGTGAAGGAATCCAGAGGGGATCACCCAGTGGGTCAAGCCTCCTCCAAAGCAGCAGCTGTCCCTGTCTCTAGAGACAAGGGACAAGTGCCCGGCCCCCAGCTCCCGGCGCCTGGGAAGGAAGCAGCCGTGGCTCAAATCCTCTTAAACGTATCTGCTCTAAACAGGCTTCGGTCCAGCGACCTGGATATAGTAATCTCTGGGATTAGCTTCATCTTCACTTTCCTTTTAGGAAATGGGTCACACACGAATCAGAATATCAGGAGCACAAACTGCCAGGAAAACAGGAAACTCAGCAGTGGGGGGCGCTCTCCCTCTCCCCTCCACCATCCCCTTCTCTCCTCCTCCCTCCCCCTCTCTGTACCCCGTCTCCCTCCCTCCTCTTGTCCCCCCCTCTCTCTCTCTCCCTCTCTCTCTCCCCTCCTCCCCCAGCTACATCCTGTGCCCTCCCTTCTCTGAGGCTGGGATGGTCCTCTCAGCCCCCAGCTGCCACCCTCCTCCACCCAAAGCTGTGCTGTTAGTCTGGTGGTTGCTCTGAGGGTCTGGTTCAAACTGCGTGGCTGTCCTAGTTCTTGTCTGCCCCTCAACGGCTGTTTCTCCCTGGGGACTTAGCTTCTCAGGACGCCTCCATCAGGACGGCCTCCTCTGAGGTCTCCCTGACTACCCAGCACCACCGACACCTCCTCTGTAGGACAGGAGTACCATGTTGGCCTCAATGCTCAGGGCCTCGCTGGGTCTTTTGTTTATCTCAGATGCAGTGGAACCAAGACTAGAGTCTAAATCAGCCAAAAAGCCCGTTTCCGTAAAGTGTGTCACAAAGCCCTAAGGGTTGCCAAGTGTCAGACTGCCAGGTTCACACATCAATTTACAGAGGGGAGGCTGAGGCAGAGAGGGCCTGTGCTCCACCTGAGGTGCCGGCAGCATCTGGGGGCGAGGCGGGTGGTCTTTGGAGAGCACTCTATGCCTGTGTAACAGGGAGCCCTCTCACATGGCAGAGACCACTGGTGTGTCGTGGCAGGAGGGGGACTCCGCAGGGCTGTGATGTCACCCTACCACCCTTTTGCGGTTCCTAAGACCCTGGAGAGCTTGTGGCAAGGCAGCCGGGCAGAAGCCCCCGGAAGGCTCAGGGTAGGGACGTGGCTTGGCCACAGCCACCAAGCCTCTGGACAGGACCAGACCCAAGTCCCGGCTCTGTGGTGGCCTCTGACACCCCCCAACCCAAATTGCAGTGGGCCCTGAGACACCTCCTCATGGGGGGGGGTCTCAACCCAGTCATGTAGACCGACCATTGTGGGGTTGATGGAAGCAGGAACATGGCTTTGTGGGGAAGCTCCTGGGAACCAGGTCTGGCCTTGCCAGGCAGGGACAGGCCAAGAGGTAGGTGGAGGCCTGAGGGATGCTGGGATGCTGGGTGAGTGATGACGTGGCTCTGGGCAGTGGGAGAGGAGAGTTGGAGGCACCCCTGTGTCCGCCACAGATGTGCATTAGCAGCCTCCAGGTTGGTGGGAGGCAGGTCTGGTTCCAGGGTTTCCGGGAGCCCGAGCATCACCCACTGCCCACAGGGCTCTGGGGAGAGGGTCTGACTCAGCAGAGAAGCCGGGTGGGAACATTGATGTGGGGGACAGTGAAGTAGAAGCGACACAGGCAGGGAGCCCCAAGCCTCCCTCCTGGGGGACAGGCCTGAATGGGCACAGGATCAGGGCCCTCCCTCCTGCGGGACCCTAGCCCCTAGGTGACTCTGCTCTGAGAGCATGGCTCTGGCCAGAACCTGACCTTGACCTTCCAAAGTCTGGTCACCTTGCACTGAGGGTATGGTAGGGACTGGTGAGCTGGCTGCAGACATACCCCGAGGCTGCAGCCACAGACAGGGGGTGAAGGCCCAATGCTGTGAGAGTGGAGGGGGTGTCTGGCGTGGTGTGAGGGACCTGGGAGCAGTCAGGGCCCTGCAAGGTCGCAGTGGGAGCAGGGGACGTGTCTGCATGAGCACAGTAAGGAGAGACCAGGATGGAGCCAGGAGGCTGGGTGGTGTGGCCCGGAAGGCGGCACCAAGAGCTGCAGGTGCTGTGAAGCTGCCCAGAGAGGATGCAGGCAGGTGCTGTGAGTGCGTGGACTCAGCCCCGAGCACCAAGGACACTGCCACACGTCGGCTCTGGGGCAAGAGTCCCTGGGCGCTCAGCTCCACTGCAGAAACCCAGGGCAGTGGCTGGGCCAGTGAACCTCAGCGGCCTTGCATAATGGGAGTCGGTGGCACGGCCAACGCCGCCACTGCTCGCGCCTGAGGATTGATGTTCCTTTGACAGCAGGAGCCACATGGCTGCAGGTGGCAGCTGCCTCTCCAGGAGTCGGGAGGGAGAAGAGTGGGCACCTGCTGCGTGCTCCCTTTTCAAGAACATCCACAGCTGCGCTTGCCCCCAGCAGTCTTCCTCTGACACCCTGCTGGGCAGCGGGTACAGCTTCCCTGGGCTGTGTGGGGGCTGAGCAATGGAGAAGGCGCCAGAAGTCATCTGGGGCCAGTTGCCCCACTGTCTGCCACAGCCCTGACCATCCCTGAGTAACCCTGAGAGAGTTCCTTTAGCCACAAAGAACAAAATAAAACGAAGGGGCCCTTGTTCAAGTTGACCGGTGAGCAGTGGGACACAGAGCCATCCCATCCCTGCCAGAGGCCATACAGCAGGAAGTCCAGAGCCCAGTCCAGGCCGTCTGACTCCAGACCGTCCACCGTGGCCACCACGCCGGCTCACTCTGGCGTCGTGTAAATGAGTGTCAGCACCGGATAGTCAGAGGACGAGGCCGGGTCACGTCCACTCTGAGGGATAGAGTCCCGGGCACCAGGGGTCCTGGTCCAGGCAACCCTGGGTCACCTGGGCCAAGACAAAGCTCAGCTGATCTCTTCCCTGTAGAGACGAAACCAAAGAGCCCTTCAACCCTCCCGACCAGGAGAAGCCCCAGGGAGCCGCCGCGGGGGCCAGAGGCAGACAAAGGTCTATCATGGGGGCAACGACCCCGTGAGCAGACCCTGGCTGGAGCATAGGCCTGGAAGGCCTGGAGGGGCTAGTTCACAGGCCCTGGGGGTGTAGCAGACCCTCCCCCCCCAACTAGGGCTCACCTTTCATTCAGCCAACACTCATCTTTTGGGAAGAGCCTGAGGGGGCTGCCCCAGGGCGGCTGAAGGCAGACGGGGATGGCAGCCTGGACCAGGAGGGGCCTGGGGACGGGCAGACAGGACAGACTCAAGAGGCGTCCAGGAGGCCGGCTCAGCCAGTGGCAACAGGTAGGGGAGGACCCAGTCTGTCCACAGCCTGGGCGGGGCGCTGGGCAGGAGGTGTCCATGAGGGCTCTACGGAGTCTGCAGGACAGGCCGCTGGCAGTGTCCTTGTGCTGCCTGAGATCCCGATGCCCAGGGCAGGGCCAGCTGGGGCTCAGCACTGGCCCGGGCTGCAGCCTCTGTGGAGCTTAGCCCCGCCCGACCCCGGGGCCAGGATGCCAGGGCCCCTGTGGCTGGGCTGCTCCCCTCACAGCCCAGGATCAGGAGGAGGCCCCCCAGACTCAGCCTTTCTCTCCAGATGCTAAGACAAGCACAGGAGCAGCAGGTGACCACACAGCAACACCGTCTCTCTTCTCGCCCTTTGCCTTTCAGTGTCCCCACTTCAGCTCCTTCGCTGACGAGCTGACCGGCTATGTGACGAGGAATATCCTGGCCACCCCCGTCATGAACGGCAAAGACGTTGTGGCTGTGATCATGGCTGTGAACAAGCTCGATGGCCCGTGTTTCACAAGTGAGGACGAAGACGTGAGTGTCAGGGAGCCCTCTGTGTGTGCGCGCATGTGTGTGCGGGCTGCCTACCATCCGAGTGCTCGCGTGTCCAAGGCCTGGTGGGGCATGCGTGTCTGCTGCTGTCTGTGTGTTCCTCTCCAAGGCCCGGCGCCAGGCTCGTCTGCATCTGCATCTTCCACGCAGCCGCGTGCATCTTCATGCGCCCAGGCCTGTGTGTGCCAGTCCACGGCCCGGCTGTGCAGTGTGTGCAGCCCCTCCTCCTGGCCACCGGGTGTCTCTTCCACAAGTGTGCACCTGGCACTCATTTGAAAGCCGGGTTCTTAACTCCTGGCGTTACAACTCCTATTTCAGGTTTTCTTGAAGTATCTGAATTTTGGCACGTTAAACCTGAAGATCTACCACTTGAGCTACCTCCACAACTGTGAGACGCGCCGAGGCCAGGTACGTCTGCCAGCCTCCCAGGGCTCCGAGCCGAGCCGTGGCGCAGAGCTGTGTGTGTCCAGGCGCCCACCCCATCTGGATAAGGACAGCGGTGCTGTGACCACCTGGGCGCGTCCAGGGCCAGCAGCTCCAGGGGGAGGGTCCATGGCTTTTGTGGGTGTGGGTGTGGTGCTGCGAGCATGCCGAGCTGCAGGCACGGAGGCCATGACGGGACATTCTGCGCGCCAGAACCGTGGGAGGCTCATCTGGCTCCCTGTCTGCTCACGGCCTTACCCTCCAGCCCACAGGGTCTGAGCACCTGCGAACACTGAGGGCACTGCCCTGCTTAGAAGCTGCTCACGCTCTCTTTGGAAGGAGCTGGGCTGGATTATGAGTGGACAATGGGAAGAGGGACCCACCCCTTGGTGCTAAGCCCTCGGTGAATTTAGCCCCCAGCTACACTGAGAGCCGTCAGTTCCAGGGCTGGAATCTGCTTCCCCCCCGAGCTGGGAGGTGTGGGGACCTGGTGGAGGCAGGTGAGACCTTGTGTTGTGGGAACAGGTGCGGAGCTGATGGGCCCCTCGGCAGAGTGCGGGTCCCTCCAGGTCCTCCTGCCTCCGAGTCCCGGCCCATGGGAGCCTGGATAAACAGTGAGTGGACTGGGAGAGGAGGCCAAAGGCAGCTCCTCTCACTCTGGGCCTGGGGAAAGCTGCACAAGACGTGGCCTCTGGGCTGAACCTCAGAGGACATCAGTGGTGACCTGGTCCCTCCACACCGTCACCACCTTCTGTTCTGTCTGCGAAGTTGTCTGCGTGTTGGTTGCCTGCTGCTCCTGTGCCTATCTTAGCATGCGGAGACAAAGGCTGAGTCTGGGGGCCTCCCCTGATCCATGGGCTGCGAAAGGAGCAGCCTGGGCAGGCAGTCTGGGGGCAACCCAAGCCCCCTGAGGGTCTCCTGGCCGCAGGCCGGCCCCGCTGATAGGCACCTGTGATAAACCCCTCCAGGAGGGCTACCTCCCTGGGGCCAGGGCCGTGTGGGGCTGAAGCCACAGCCCAAGGAGGACGAGGCCCCCGTCCTGGTGCTCGCAGTGTGGCCCATGCAGAAGGGGTGGTGAGGACACTTGAGGGAGAGGATGGGCGAGAGGGTGCCCAGGGCAGAGGGAAGGGTGTGGCCAGGGCCTGAGGCCGTGGAGGAGCTGACAGCCAGCAGCCAGCGGGACTGCAGCGTAGGGGCTGAGCAGGGGCCGCCGAGCGTCAGGCAGGGCTCAGGGCCAGGCTGGGGAGAAGCTGAAGGACTGAGATGGGCAGATGCGGCTCTACACTGGGTGGACGGTGCTCTTCAGAAGGAAGTCGCTATGAGCCCTGTCCTGTAGGGGCATTTGTCTCTTCTCACCCGTTTCCTAATTTACGCAGTCACTTGTTTGTACCAGTCTGGACTCGTGGGTGTTTCTCACGCTTGGGTTATAATCCAGCATGACTTCACTGATTCTGTTGCTCAGCTTGTTGCCTGTGTTGCCTCAGTTCCCTGCCTCATCGACTCCAGCCTTCGGGTTGTTCTTTATTTGATCAGTTAGTGAGTTTGGGGGGTTTTGCTCAACCTTACTCTCTGGAACTACATGATGCTCCAGGCTCATTTACATATTTCCTGCCCAGCCTGGAGTCAGCCATTCCTCAAGGAACCCTGGCTGCTCTTATTGGAGAATGGTCTTAGAAGCCAAGATGTGGGTGCTGGGTGTGCTCTTTCTCTGGGGTATCCTAGCATCTAGGCCCTCTGAGCCAACAGAGCAAAGAGATAGACGTGTGCACACTAGCCTGAGCATACGCCGATCTATAATTATTTCTACATCAAACCAACTGTGTCTACATTAAGTTGAACACAAGTTCTTGCTGATGTCCCCAACTCTAATTCATTGCCACATGGATCATTCTGGCCTCCTCCCCTTGCTGGTACATAATTTCCACTCCAACAGCAAAGCACGTGGCTCCCATCATCCCATAACCCTTTACTTAATTGTTCAGTTCCAGGACACATGTACAGCAATGCCAGGATTGCTAACCTGTGTCCCAATGGGAGGCGACTTTGTCAACAGAGCACACTGCTGTGTGCAGTTGCTTGTACCGTTACTCTTACAGACTCCTCATTCCAAAACACCTAGGTCAGCACCTTTTTCTCCACCCGCTCAGTGAGGCAGCTCATGCATTTTAATGCAGTTAGATTGTCTTGTCAGAGTCTGCGTTCTTTCTTGGAGTCCCCCCACTACTAAATGCTTCTTTAGTTGCATATATCAGGTTCATTTTTTGTGCTGCAGATTTTAACAGGTTTTGACAAGTGTGTCACGACATGCATCCACCATTGTTGTTTGGTGCTCTTGAGTGGATTCCAGTTCCTAGCGACCCAGGAGACAGCAGAGTAGAACGCTGTCCAGTCTTTTTGCACCATCCTCTCATCTTCTGGTGGTATGTCAGACCATGCTTCACTGCTATTCATAACCAATTTTTCATGGCCAATTTTTTTGGAAGTGGGAGGTCAGGTCCTTCTTCCTAGTCTGTCTTAGTCTGGAAGCTCTGCTGAAACATGTCCACCTGCTGGCATTGTGAATACTGGTAGCATAGCTTTCAGCATCACAACAACATGCAGACGCCACAGCGTGGTGTGGTTCTCTGACTGGAAACGGACCCAGGCCGTGTTGGTGAGAGCACCAAATCTTAACCACTAGACCACCAGGTTTGACTATATCCACCATTAAAATATCATAAAGAATAATTTCACTGCCCTAAAAGTCTCCTATGCGCCACCCGTTTATCCCTCCACGCTCTACCTCCACCAAACCCCCAGCAATCACTGATTATTTTACTGTCTCTGTAGTTTTCCTTTTCCAGAATGTCATAGAGTTGGAATCGTACAGTGTGTGTAGCCTTTTCAGATTGGCTTCTTTCACTTAGTAATATGCATTTAAGGTTCCTTCATGGCTTGATAGCTCATTTCTTTTTATTGATGAATAATATTCCACTGTCTGGATGGACCACAGCTTATTCATTCAGCTGTGGAAGAACATCTTGATTGTTTCCAGTTTGGGCAATTATGAATAAAACTTCTATAAACATTTGTTTACAGGTTTTTGTGTGGACATAAGTTTTCAATTCAGTTGAGTAAATACCAACGGGTGCAGTTGCTGGATAATGTGGTATGCCTATGTTTAATTTTGTAAGAAATTGCCAAAAAGTGGCTGTGCCATTTTACATTCCTGTCCTATCGCTCTGCATCCTCACCAGCTTTTGGTATTGTCAGTTATTTAGATTTCAGTCATTCTAATAGGTGTATTTCATTAGTGTTTTCATTTACAATTCCCTAATGACAAATCATGTTGAGCATCTTTTCATATACTTATTTGCCATTTGTATATCTTATCCTTTGGTGAGGTGTCTGTTCAGATCTTTTGCCCATTTTTAAATTAGATTGTCTATTTTCTTATTTTTAGTTTTAAAAGATTTTTGTAAAGTTTGAATACAAGTCCTTTAGCAGATACATATTTTGCCAATATTTTGTCCAGAGGTATAGTTTGTCTTTTCATTCTCTTAACAATGCGTTTGGTAAAAACAGAAGTTTTAAATTTTAATAAAGTCCAACTTATACATTTGTCCTTCATGAATTATACTTGGGCGTTGTATTTTGAAACTCATCACCAAACCCAAGGTCACCTAGATTTTTCCTTGTCATCTTCTAGAAGTTTTGCAGTTTTTTGTTTTACACTTAGGTCTAAATTAATCTTTGTGAAAGCTGTTAGGTTGGTTCTAGATGCTCTTTTTGTAAATGGAGGTCCAATTTTCCCAACAGCATTTAGTGAAAAGACTAGCCTTTCTCCACTGAATTGCCTTTGCTCCTTTGTCAAACTACAGTTGACTATATTTGTATGAACCTATTTCTGTGCTCTCTATTCTGTTCCGTTGGTCTAAGTGTCTATTTTTTCACCAATACCATACTGTCTTGAGCACGATAGCTTTACCGTCTTACAGTCAAGAATATCATTTCTCCAACATTTTTTTTCCTGGAGTATTGTGCTGGCTATTTTGTGGTGTGTGTGTTTTTGCCTTTTCATATAAATTTTAAAATCCGTTCATCCATACCAGCAAAATAGCTTGCTGGTATTTTAATTGGGACTGCATTAAATCTGTACATCACGTTAGGAAGAATTGGTGTCTTAATAATAATGGGTCTTCCAGTTCATGAACAGAGAACATCTGTCTATTTAGATCCTCTGTGATTTCTTCAGAGTTTGTAGTTTTTGCATATAGATCCTGTACATATTTTATGAATTTGTACCTGCGTTCAATTTTTTATGCTAATGTAAGTGATATTATGTTCCTAATTTCAAGTTCTAATTGTTCATTGCTGCTATAAAGAAAAGCGACTGACTTTCATATGTTAACCTTGTATCCTGTGACTTTAAGACAATCACTTATTAGTGCCAGGAGGTTTTTTAATTGACTGCTTGGTATTTTCAGATAGGTGATCATGTCATCTGCAAACAAAGACATTTTTATTTCTTCTTTCCCAATCTGTATACATTGTATTTCCTTTTCTTGTCTTATTGCACATGCTAGGACTCCCAGTACAATGTTGGACAGGAGTGGTAAGAGGGGACCTCCTTGCCTTTTTCCCAGTATTAGGGTAAGATGTCCAGTTTCTCAACATTAAGTATCATGTTCATTGTAGGTTTTTGTAGAATTTTATCTAGTTGAGGAAGTGTCCCTCTATTTCTACTTTGCTTAGAGCTTTTATTCTGAATGAGTGATGATTTTGTCAAGTGCTTTTTGTCCCTCAATTGATATGATCATGTTACTTTTTTTTTGCTTTAGCCTGTTAATATGGTGGATTACACTGATTTTCAAATGTTGAACCAGCCTTGCATACCTGGGATAAATCTCACTTGGTCATGGAGTATAATTACTTTTACATATTGTTGGATTGGTTTTGCTAATATTTTGTTAAGAATTTTTGCATCTGTGTTCATGAGAGATTTT